TTTTTTTTCACACACACACACACACACACACACACACACACGCACACACACACACACACACACACACACACATTTTCCCCATAAAGAACTATTTCATTGCAGTACCTGAAAGCAGTTAAGAATCTGTCCCCTCCAAGAATGAATTGCTAAATGTTTTTAAAAAGTTCATTTTTAAAAAATTGTCAAAGTTTTAAATGAGTTATGTTAAAATATATTTTGATTAGGTCTTTGCTAAATAGTCTTTTAATGAGGTTCTTTGTGTTTTGTTTGTTTTTTTTGGTACTGGGGATCAAACTCAGGTCCTTGTGCTTACAAGACAGACAGCAGAACCACTGAGCTAAATCCCTAGCCCTAACTACAGTCTTTTAAAAACAAATGTTGAGGGCCGGCTATTTAGCTCAGTGGTTCCGCGACTGCCTTGTAAGCGCAAAGTCCTGAGTTTGATCCTCGGTACAAAAACAAAACAAAACTCTAAAAACAAACAAAACAAAACAAACGTTCAGACTAGCCTGACAAAATTTAGTGCTAACTAGATAAATCCTAACATATTCTTGGTGCTGAAACAGTAACAATGCTTCTAGAGATAAGGGCTTTGAACCAAGTAGCTTAAGTACCTCGTGCCTTCGTGTCTGAGAATGTATAGAGATTTATGTTTCTGCAAAATATATTGTTGAATTTCCTTAAATATCAAGAAAATGGAAAATGATTTTGGGGGGTGGGGTGGGTAGAACCAGAATATGTAAGCACTGACATCATTAAATATTGAAATATCTCTTGGCCATTGACCTGATCAGGGCTCCTAAGGATATAAAAAGGTGGATCACAAACAGGCTGTGATGAAGACCTATTCCAGCCCCAACCTTCTCCTCCCTTTTGAAATCAGAGGTTGTTTTCTTCCCACAGAGGTGAACACCCAACTTTATGTGACAGTCTAATTTTCTTTACGATTTCCTGGGGTACAACCCAGAGTCTCAAGCTCATTCTTCCCATATTGGGAGAAATAGGGAATGCATTATCTCCTCGTCCTTCAGCCAGATACTGAGGCAGTTGGATTACCCAGGTGTGAAGTGAGGCCTCAGAAATTAAAAACCAAAAGGGCTATCTAGGGGTTCTGAAGGTAAAAGGGGAGGAAAAAAAAAAAATCCCAAACGGACCCGTTTGTGTGTGTGTGTGTGTGTGTGTGTGTGTGTTAGAAAAAGGGAGATGACCAAAAATGGCTTGGTTTGCTGGCACAAATAAAACCTAGAGCCTCTTCTGATTGAAGATGCCACTGCCAACCTTGTACACGTAAGCGCAAACGGACTACATTGTGAGAAGGCCAGTGTGGATCCAGTCACTGAAGCCTCAAACATTGGCAAATAAGAAACCTTGGGGCAGAGATGGGGGCGGGACTCCACTCACCACCTGAGCTCTGATTGGTCAATGGCTCTCATCACCGCCTGGTACTATTTGTTGTTGAGGCAGAGTGTCTGACGTAGTTGGCGTCTGTGCGTCCGCACGTGCAGCCGTTTAAGCGCGGTTTGTACCCCAGCGAGGACCCAGCGAGATCTCAGAGTGGTGAGGTGAGTGGGCTTCCTTCCCCCGTGGCTCTCAGGCCTTTTGGTCTTTGGACTTTGGCTCATATGAACAATGACTGGGGCAGGTGGGATTTGAAAACATCCTGGAGGCCCTCCCTCCTTCCTACAAGGGTTCCAAAACCCCGTGGTTGACCAGGTGACCTTTGGGTGGATTTAAGGCCAGGAGAAGAGTTGGAGCCTTTTGTGCAGTGCCTATGCGGGCCTGTTCTCTGAAAAAAGATGTCTGTGGTACCATTTGTGTACAAACACTTATTGGAAGAAGCTAGTTGTGCTTTGTTGGGGGGGGTAAATGAGCCACTTAATTCTCTTCCCTGTCTGCCTCCAAGGTCTCTGTTTTCCGATCAAACTACCCGTCCCCCTAAAACACCTGAACCGAACATTTTATCTGCCTTTGAAAGGAAGCCAAAGGAGAAAGCACACAAAGGGGAAAACCTTGAGTATTATCTAACACCCCCTCTTTCCCTGTTTAGTAGCCATTGAGCCCTTTTGGCGATCCTTTGAAGGACGAACTGATTAGGGGAAAAAGCCTAAGCATCCACTGAGTGTGGTGATTGCTAGAATGATTAGGTAGGTGGTTAAGCAGGCTTTTAAATATAAGAAAGGATGGATGCATACAAACTAGGCAAGAAGACCTAGTTCTTTTTGCAAAAACTCATTGGGAGGATTAGCATTTAGTTGAATAGATGTTAGTTTATCCATTTTGGGGGGATTAAAACCATAGCCTTTTGTGCTTTATCACTGAGCTACGTTAAAGATAAATTTTGATCTAATCAAGACCAAAAGTGCATGTTTTTAAGATACAAATAGAACTCGAAGCCACCATGGGAGATGAAGATTGGGAAGCAGAAATCGTCAAACCTCATGTTTCTTCCTACGTTCCTGTATTTGAGAAGGTAATAAAATTTAAATTGTACAGTTAACTAAATGCTATGGCTTATCAAAGTTGGAAATTGAACTCGTGGGAAAATTCTAAATTATAGTTCATCTTATGTTTGTTACTAACTTTTAAGGGAAACGAGGGCAACATAACCTTCAAATAAATGTATTTGTGATAATTTGATAATTAAAAGCTAAAACAGATGTAACATTAACAATGTAATTTAAATCTCAATGAATTAGGATTTGCAGGTGAAAGCAAGTTTGTATAAATGTGATTGAAAGTCTTGGACACTTACATGGAGAATTGAAAATAATAATTTGATTCTGGATGTTTTGAATTCTGGAAATTGGTTTTATGCCTGGAGAGCACTCAAGATTATTAGGTCGATTCAGTGGTACTATCAACTTGATGTACTACAAATCATCAGATCTTTTTTCCTGAATGGTGTTTCCGGGGTTTATTGTACTTCTGATGAAAGGGCAGTGGAGTGGCTTTTAGGGTTTCATTTCTGACTTTAAAAAAAAATCAATGAAGTGTACTTTAGAAGATAATGTATTCTAAGGGACCATTTTTATAGAAATGTTATTTACTTGATAGTGTTTACAAAAGTTTTTTTCTTTTCTTTTAAAATTTCCAGTTTGTTTGTTAATGAATCCTGATATTTTCTAAGTGGTACCTTTGTGGAAATCCTTATTTTACATACAAATATAACATGTAAGGTAAGAAGAACTGTGTACATTAAAATAGGATTATGAGTTGCATGTGCTGAGGTTAGTGTTGAATCTAATAAAGTACTTGCTATCAAAGTGATTGTATTTTACTTGGGGAGACATAATGTGTGTATTTGGGAACCACATAGTAATTATAAATGATAAAAAGTGCTAGAAAAAATAAAGAGATATATATGTGGGGTGGCTTTCATCAAATAGTGAAGGTTTTCCTGAGACGTTGACTTATGAGGTGGAGACCTGCAGAAGTCCCAACAGGGCATTGTGTGCATAGATTCTGAGGCGTGAACAAAGTTGGCATGTTATGGCATCAGGAAGTAGGTGAATGTTTTAGTTTCATATGGCTGCTGTAACAAATTACCAAAACTGGGCATCTTAAAGCAGCACAAATTTATTCTCATTGCTGTAGAAGCCAGAAGTCAGAAATCAAGGTTTCAGGCTCTAGGAGAGAATCTTTGCCTCTTCTATTATCTGATGGTTATAGGCAGTTCTTGGCTTATAATTACATCTCTTTGCTGTTTATTCAAATGAATTTCTGTGTGTTTCTGTGTTATCTCCCTTTGTCTCCCACACTTTTTGGATACTGAAGATTGAACTCAGGACCTTGGGCATGCTAGGCAACATTGTGCCACTGAGTTGCATTCATTTATTTATTTATTTATTTATTTATTTATATTTTTGGAAGAGGTTTTGTATTTATTACATTATTACATTTTCTTTTCTTTCTTTTTTCTTTGGATACCAGAGATTGAACTCAGGACCTTGCATTTGTGAGGCAGGCACAATGCCACTGAGCTAAATCCCCAGCCATATTTTTATTCTTGAGATGGGATATCACTGGATTACCCAGGCTGGGGTGGTATTTGTAATATTTTTGCTTCAATTCCCTATGTATTAGCTGGGATTACTGGCATACATCACCATGAGTTGGTTGCATCTCTCTTAGGACAATTGAGATGACATTTAGGATCCACCCAGATAATCCAGGGTAATTTTATCTCAGAAATCTTAATTATATTTGATCTCTTTTAAAAATAATTTTTACAAAAAAGTAATTTTTACAAACTAGGTATTAGGACTTGATATCTGTGGGTGGCTGTTACACAGTTTACCTCAGCCAGTATGACTAAAGCGAAATAAGACAGTGGTAGAAATTGAAGTCAGAGAAGGAAAGGGAAAAAGAGGAGAGGGACTGAAGGTAGTTGGATACATAAAGTTGGTGGAATGGATAGGGCTAATGAAAGAAAGAGAAATCAAGGGTGCTGAGTAGGTTTTATAACCCAAACAACTAAATTAATGATGTACCGTTTGCTGAAATGTGTAATCTATGGAAGAAGAGGAAGTTCGGGAGGAAAAAACAGGAGTTTCGTGTTTGCTGTGTTTAACTTGAAGTGCCTATGCAAACACGTAAGGATGATGTTTAGTAAGATACGTTTTTTTCTTAGAAGAGTTATCAGGCCCACAGATATAAATTTGAGAATTGTGTACATATTAGTGGAATTTAAGTTATAAGATTGGGTATTACCAGGTTGAGTAAGACCATAATAGATTTAAAAGGCCTTACCATGAGCCCTGGAACACTCATTTTGAGGTCCAGTAGAAGAGGACCTGGGAAAGGAACTGAGAGGAGATGGCCAAGGGCACAAGAAGAAAACCAAAATATTGATTTCATATGCTGCTGAGATGACCTCTCTGTTGAGACATAAAAGCAGTAATTTTATTACATAATTTCTTTATCAAAAAAGAATTTTCAGATGGGCTCTGATGCTCATACCTGTAATTGTAGCACTTTGTAATTGCTGACGCAGGAGGATTTCAAGTTTGAGCCCAGTATAAGGAATTTAGAAAGTCTTAAAATAAGTAAAAATGAATGGGGATGTAGTTCAGTGTGAGGGCCCTACATTCTGTCTCCAGTGCTGAAAACCAGAACTAACGTAGGTGTTTCCAGTGCAGAGGTGAAGATGGAAGCTAGATCAGAGTGGCTATAGTTAAGGAAATATGAGATATGAAAAATTAGAGATATAGCAACTGTATATACAATCTTTTCTGTTTTAGGAGAGGCAAAGAAGTTTAATAGCTGGAAGGAAAGGTGATGTCTGTTTTTTAGGGTAGTAAACAAGATTGAGAATTTTTTCTTTTAACAAATCTTACTTGAAAATAATTTCAAATTTATAGAAAACTTGCAAGAATTAGAATAGCACTAAGAACACCTCAAGTCTTTAGCAGTATTTACCTAGTAACATTTCCCTCATTTGCTTTATTTGCAATCTCTTTCCATATCTACATATAGCTATACTCTGTAAGGAATTTTTGTGATGAAACAAATTCTAAAAAAAATTTTTTTTTTGGGGGGGTACCAGGGATTGAACTCAGGACCTTGCGCTTCCAAGGCAGGTGTGGTGCCACTGTGCTAAATCCCCAGCTCTGAAAAAAATTGTGATGTTTTGTTTTAAAATTTGCCTTGGAACTTGTGAGTTCGATGTATGTGGGATGTTAAATAGCATGTCATTATCATTTATCAGTTTTATAACACATTTAAAGTCAGTCTTTTTTTTTGGGGGGGGGTTCTGTTCACTTAGTAGAATTTTGGCCACTAGAAACAAAAATTTCTTCAGGATGTCACTGTAGGGAAGTTTGGGCCATTGTTCTTTGTTTTAATGCATGGTAGTAATAAATTGCCCCCCCCCCCTTTGTAGTAGTAACCAAAAACCCAAGGCATTTCAAGGATGCTATTGTCCTTTTACCTTTAATGGCAGCTCAGAAAAATGTTTGACTTTTGAGCCTCAAAAAAATACAATAGTTTAAAAAGTCATTCAGTGTCTTTTGTGGAAGAAATTTTAGAAAATAAGCCGTAGAAGTTACTCACCTTGGTGTGCACTTTTTCCAGCTTTTGGACTTAACATGAATTTATTTGAAGAAAAACTGTGACTGTTCTAATGTAGTCAGTTGACTGCAATATCTGTTAAGTCACCTTTCATTTTTAGATTATTGACTTTTGATTTCCATTTGCATTATTGTAGACCAGGTTTTTCCCTGTTAGAGCACATTTACGTGAGAAGAAATAAAAGCATGATTAATGATGTAAAGTTGCCATTAGATTTAGAAGTGAGAAAAAATGAGACTGAAATTTTTTTGCAAGTCAGGCAGCAGAACTACTGAGAACTACTGAAATTGTTTTTAATCCAGAGAGGTTCTGGAAAATGTTGGAAGTTTCCACAGTTAACATTCAGCCATCGACTTTATAGCACATATTCCTGTAATTCTTTATGGAGTATTGAGGGAGTGGAGGTCTCTGTCTTTTGTATCTTCTTCTGGCTGAAGGGGCTGTTCTACCCATTGGGGAGTATGTTTTCTCCAACTGCAGTGAGACAATGATAAAAGAGCTAGTGACTAGACTACTGAGCTATCTGTTTGATGGATGAGAGTAAATCTGTTGGGGATGTAGATCCAAATGTGAGGAGCAGGTCAGATTTCCATGCTTCTTGAGGATAAAGTATGGCAAAGAAGGGGGTTAAATAAATTATTGAGTCTGAGATCCATAGCTTTAGAAAGATTACCCACATAATGGATCTACATAAAAATGGAAGCCTCAATACAGGTGCCTATTTAGGCTATGGTGAATCAGGGTCATTAATGACTCTGCTGATCTGCACCTAGAACAGTACTAGAGTCTTGCTTTCTGAAGAGGGAACTCAGATTTTCTAGAGTTCCCAGGAATAGCGTTTTTCTTACTCTGTGAAAATTCTAGTGACTATTTTCCTTGTAGGGTTTTTATAGCTTGTCACTGTGTACCTTGAGGAAGTACCAGAATGGTTCTTTAGGAGCTGGGAATAAAGGGAGGGCCTTGAGAGAAATTAGGGCAGCCCTTCTTGTCTTCATATCAGCCCTTTGATTTCCCAAGGAGTCTTTAGGCATGTCTCTTTGGGATCCTTTATAATGATTAACAGTGACTTGGGAAGATAGACTACCTATAAGAATTGTAGAATTTCTTGCTTGTGTTTTATAGATGATTGCTTATTAGTTAGCAAGCTCCTTTCCAGATTGCTGCATGGGCATGCAGCATTCTCTCCATAATTCTGGTCACAAACTGAGCTGGATGAGAGCGAAATCAAATTTTTTCATAAGGTCAACATTGAACCTAACCATTGAATTTCATTCAGTTCTTTTCCAACTTGGTTTGTGACCAGAATCGTGGAAAGAGTCAAGTTTGTGAACTGAGGTACCACTGTATTTGGAGTCAATATAGAGATATACCTTCTTGCCTTTTCTCTAGTTACTGTTTATT